GGCAGCTGCCCACGGGGTTGTCCTGAAAACGCCGTTTCCGTCCTCGATTCGGGGAGGGGGCACCCCAAAAAAAAAGTCACCCACCCCCCCATGACACACCCCCCCCCCGAGTCTGGGGTTTGGGGTGAAACCGGCTGGTTTGGGGATCGGGGAGCCGAGGCCTGGCTGCCTGCAAAGGGGAGGGGGCATCAAATGGCCCAAAATGCCAAAAAAAATGCCCAAAAATGTGGGGTTTGGGATCTCACGTCAACCCCATCAATGGAAAAGCAGCCCCTGCTAATCCCAGATGGGGTTTTGGGGTGAAACCGGTTGGTTTTGGGATCAGGGAGCTGAGGCCTGGCTGCCTGCAAAGGGGGTGGGCATCAAATGGACAAAAATCCAAAGAAATTGCCCCAAAATGGGGGTTGGGACCCCACATCACCCCCTGTTGAGTAAAACAGCCCACCCTGGCCAGGATTTCAGGGGAAAACCGGCTGTTTTTCACATCAGGGAGCTGAGGCTCGGCTGCACACAGCGGGGTTTATCAAATTGCCCAAAATCCCAAGAACTCACCCTAAAAGGTGGGGCTTGGGACCCCCATCACCCCCCTGAGAAAAAACATCCCTCCCTGAACGGGCTTTTTGAGGGGAAACTGGCTGGTTTTGGCATTGGGGAGCCAAGACCTAGCTGCATAAGGGGGGGGTGTGGTATAAAATTGCCCCAAATTCTAAGAAATCACCCCAAAAAGTGGGTCTTGGGACCCCACATCAACCCTCTGGGGAAAAAACAGCCCCCCCCGGGCAGGATTTTGGGGGGGGAAACCAGCTGGTTTTGGCATCAGGGAGCCGAGGCTCGGCCGCACACGGTGGGTGGGATAAAATTGCCCAAAATCCCAAGAATTCGCCCCGAAAGGGGGGTTCTGGGGGGGGGGGCCCACGGCGAAGCCAAGGAGTAACAATTAGAGTGATAACTACCAGGTAATGCAGTTTGTTTACCATAGCGTGTCCGATCCCTGCGTGCTGGGGGGCGCCGGGGGGGGGGAAGAGCAAAAAAAAAAAGGACAAAACACAACAAAAAATGACATTTTCC